TTATTTCCCCACTACCTGTGAAAATGTGTGAAAATCTTTTCTCACTTGTGGGAAAATCTGTGAAATCTTTTCCCACTTGTGTGAAAAGGTGTGAAATTATTTTCCCACTTTCGGCACATTTTTTCACAATTTGTGAAATGAAAAGGAATTTCCTTGGAAGAGAAAAAAAGTCATGTGAAAAAATTTTCCCATTTTGGTGTTTACTTTCAACCGCAATGTACTGTAGAGTGAACTTTTAAAATGCAGAGTTGGAGTGATGTGCACATGTCACCACATCTGAGATACATGTAGTTTGGTATGGTAGTCAGTGACTTCTAGTTGATTTTGGCGCAGGGGAGATGTGTGCTAGCCCCCACCCATTGGTCATTGCGAAGAAGGCATTGATCGCAATGGTACATTTTGTTTAATGCATGAATGTTCCAGTGGTAACTCTAGTACCATCCAACCAGCAGGACTCGAATGATACATGGTCGGACCATTTGAAACCACACAGACGCTGGGGCATGATCTCATATCTGATTACCAGCAGCTTGTTTTTCCAAATTGAATACTTAGAAAGCCATTTGTATAAAGATAATTATGTGAGATGGCAGAGACCGTGAACACAGCAAGTGATACAACCAACTACAATAAGTTAGTAAGATTTTGCAAAATGGTTTGACCTGAATCACTCGAGTTGGATTGTATTGTCCATGCACTATTAACCAGCAGTCAGACTTAAGTCGTCACTGGAAATTGCCCGATACCATTGCTGATCACTTGTGAACTTTCGACTTTGTAGTCATGAGAATCGGCAAGAAGCCCAGGGAGATAGAGACCGCCCTCAAGAGTCAGGAGATTGATGGAATCCACCGACTGGTCTGCACCTCAAGAAGTCAAGATTACTCGTTGAAAGGTGGGACTGAAGTTGAATGAGGTTTTAAATTTGGAGTTGGGTGCTTTTTTATTTGTGAATTTTATTTTAATTTCCTAGGAGAAGAGGAAATTTCTTTTCTGCGCTTTACTGCGAGGTTTTTCTGTATTCTGAAGTTCAGAAGACCTAGATGCTTTCCGAGAAAATAGGAATAAGCAGATTTCTTCTTCAAACCTGTACAGTTTTGTAGGTAT